AAAGGGACACGGCCGGCAGGTGCGAGGGAGGTCGAGAAGCGGAAGAAAAGCACATCGCGTTTGCCTCATTTTGTTTATTTTTTATGTTAAGAACATTTTTTTTTTTTTTGGAAGGAGTTACTGAGGACCTAACATATCTTTCGGCTTCACCCACTGATCAAACTGGTCGGAGGTGAGGAACCCCAGCTTCAGGGCCGCCTCCTTCAGCGTCGTCCCTTCCTTGTGGGCCGTTTTGGCAATCTTGGCCGCTTTGTCGTACCCTGCAACAAACCACAACCAGCGAGTCAGCCGCGTGCAGCTTCAGGAGGTTCGCTAGAGGCGAGAGGAGGGGAAGACGCCTGGCCTCTGGGGAAGCGGCTTGCTGGCCACGGCCGCGGCCGCGTCGCTCCCTCGGCGGCACGCACGCGCCGAAGGTTTGCACCAACTCCCAACGGGAAGGGAAGGTAAATCCTGTTACTCTGGTCCTCGTGCATGCAGATCAGCGTTTTACGTGACCTCCTCCAAAAAAAAAAATATGGTAATCTTTCACTTTTCATTATTGGAGGTCAAACTGGGGCAACAGATACATGAATTCTCCCAATTGCTTTTTTTTTTTTTTTTTTTTGGCCTTTCGTCACAGGACTCTCGTCACAATTATTTTTATACTGCTCTGGTATGGCCACTGCAAGGAGGACATGTCTTTTCCACCAGTAATACTAGTCAGCGACATTAAAGTAAGTTAACCTTTGGCCTGGGCCATGACTTGGTCTCCTAAACATTGAGACAGTATAAATTACGTGTGCAAAATAATGTCACAGCAAAGTACTTCAGTGTAATGTTTTGAGACGTTTCTGAGCCTTAAACCTACCTATATGCGGGTTAAGTGCTGTCACCAACATCAGGGATTCACTCATTAGTTTGTTGATCCTGTCTGTGTTGGCCTGGATTCCAGCAACGCAGTTGTCGGTGAAAGAAACACAAACATCTCCAAGAAGTCGTGCAGAGTTTAAAACGTTTTTAATCTAACAAATGAGAAAGAAACACCAACCATTACATTCGTATTGTAACAGTTGCACAGTCTGGCACATTTATTCATAACCAGTGCCCTTCCCCACAATATCCACTTCTGTAACGGGCTGTTTGTATAAAAGGAGCAGAGTAAATAATACACCCTCCTCCTTTTGCAGGGTAAGCTCAGCCACTCCTATTTAAAGGAATTTGTGAGAACGGTTCAATAGCAGAAGAAGTCTTGCATTAAGACAACCACAGTATGCATAATAATTTTGTTGTAACAGTTCACAAATAATCTAGTAAAAAATAAATGAAAGCATTTGAGTCATTGTCATTTCGCCCCTCAGGTACCAATCAAGAGAAGACATCTAACAAATATGAAGTACAATAATGTCTGGCATTAGTCTTTTACTTTGAGAATCCATAACATGCCACTCTTTTTCTGAAGAGGTGTCTATCAAAATTTATCTTCTGCTAGGTACATCTCTTGGCTGTTCAATACAATTTTTGGTTTTGGTACTGTTTGGTTGGGTTTTTTTTTGTCAAAACCAGGTGCTGCATGCTTAGAAGTTTGTTCAGATGGTGGGGGAAAAAAGAAAAACCACACACCAGTACCCCAAACAGGCACAGTAAGAAAGAGACAAATAGTGATTTTATTCTAAGATTTCAATATTTTTTTTTCAATCATTTCTTACTAGCATAATAAAAAAGCTGCATCAGTCAGTATTGGCTGTGTAGAAAAATAACATAGGACACGCTGCTTCCTTTGTCTCTCTTATTTCTAAAAAGATTACAAAGTCTCCAACAACTTTATTTTTATTTCTATTTGATATTAGGATCTTTTCCGTAAGTCACCTTCATTCTTCTTACACTATCATCCTTACACTAGCAGCCATATGATTCATTCAATGTCTTACAAGCAGTATGTATCTTAGTGTACCCTGCTCACACTGTGGAAGGCAGACTTTTTTTAAATACTTAAGTCCAAGACTAATCATTTACAATTTTACATGACTCACTTGCCAAAAGCACGTAATCCTTTAGTATTCAGCAGTAACAGAAATTAGTTACAGATAGTGACTAAAGAAAAAAAAATCTAAACACCAAAATTCTCTTCAGCTAAAATACTAAATTCTCTTCAACTTTGGACAAAATTTTGTCTCTGTGTTCCTCTCTCCGTGATTCCCTAGACTGATGATAAGCGTATGTTTAAGATAAAAGCTTATCTGCATACGATAGTTTCATGTAAAAAAACATTTTCAGTTGCCTGTCAAAATAACAAGGGCTTACCAAACAAAAGAATAAAGTTTGTTCTCACATTTTTATCTGCTTCTGTCGTGCTTGTATTGACCAATTATCCACTGAGGTTTTTCACCCCTGAGTTATATAATTGTAAAAATGATGATTTTAGAAGTCCTAGATACTTAAAATTTTATGAACTTACCATCATGGGCTTAAAAACATTCAGTTCAAAGTGTCCATTGCTACCTCCTACAGTAACAGCAACATGATTTCCCATAACTTGGGCTGCCACCATGGTTACAGCTTCACACTGGGTAGGGTTCACTTTTCCTGGTTGTGGAAGGGGAGAAAAAGGTTGCCAAAGAAAGAAAAATTAGTAACTAACTAAATAAATCAGTACCTCCCCCATTTACCAAACCACATTCAACATAAGATGTTTTGTAGGAGGTAACATGTCTTACTCATCTGTATCTGTGCAACACAGAAAAGAAATAATTTCCATAAAAGATATTAAACTCATGGTACTGTTCCAGTAATTCAGCTAGGATTTTTGAAGCAGCTGTGGCTGCTTTAGCAATCTACCAAGACTTTGAGAGCTGGATAAAATGTGCATGAGCTAAGCAGCTGTTAAATTACCACAGTCCTTAATAGCCAAGGGATTATAACCTGTCTTTATTCGTGTAAGTAACCATTTCTGGTAAATCATTACCAAATCTCAGTCAACTTAATCTGATGGAATTACTCTGTAATAAAATTAATACAGTCTGTTTACTTTATCTGGAGAAAAAAAACCCAAACAAATTGAGAGTGGCCTCCTAACAAAGTTTTATGGTTGTTTTCATTTCTAGAAATAATCCTAAGAACATTATCTGCTTTTTTTGAGAACCAGATATGCTCACCACCTGGATTTTTTCATAAATTATGATACAGGAAGAATATGCTTAGACTAGTTTTGGATGTTCAGTGTTCGCATACACATACTTTTTATAGGAGAGAGGCAAGGAATGATTACTAATCTTACTCCTTCCTTTCTTATCCTCCCATACACTGGGATCATTGCAGAAGAGAACACTGAGTTCATAACACATGCTAGGCAGTAAAGACAGAAGTCAATTTATATCATGATATTACTACAACTCATAGATTAGATAATTTAAACCTTGTTTCAGGAAAGTCTTTACACAAAAATTGTAGAGATCTTGCAATTCTAAAAAAACGTTTAGAGAAGTATGCTTGTATCAATAGTCATATGATATGTTTACAGATACTACTCTCCGCCAAACACTTCCCAACAACCAGCTGTGCAAGAAAGTATTTTTTATGAACTATGAATTTTGGTAAAATATGGCACAATATAAAAACTGACAGAAGTGCTGAATCATGGACTTACTGACATTTGTTTGGTAAATATCTGTTAAGAGTTGGTCGTCCAAAACAAAAGAAACAGGCAAATTTTTCTCCGTATGTGTTCTCTTTACCTGGCATGATGCTGCTTCCTGGTTCATTTTCAGGCAGGATGAGTTCTCCTAGTCCAGAGCGTGGTCCAGAACCCAGGAAACGAATATCATTAGCTATTTTCATCAGACTACATGCCACTGTGTTCATAGCTCCACTGAGTTCAACTAGAGCATCGTGAGCCGCAAGAGCTTCAAACTTATTTGGAGCAGTGACAAAAGGCAAACCTACAGGGAGGGCAGGAAACATTAAACCAGCCAGGCACTTCCTGGCAGACATAAACCAGATAATCAAACACATCATTAGCTTAATAAATAAAAAAAAAAAAATTAATAACGCTGTAAGATCATCTGCCTTTTCTAGACCCTTCTTCACAAACATATTTCTTAAACAGACTAAATTCAATACAAAAGACACAGTAGAAGTCACTAAAATACAGAAGAATATGAAATTTGCCCATCTATCCACAACAAAGGTACAAATTTCAAGCTTTCATACTGTGTTGCACAGTAAGCATTGCTTTGCGCCACAGTACAGTGCGAATGTTAAGAACCTCTTACAAGTTAGCCCAAACTTCGGTATTTCTTCCATTAAATCAAGTTAGATTCTTTAGATTGTCAGTTGCTGGGATGTTTTCTCCCATTTACGAAAACAGGTTTTTGCAGCACAGTGCAGACATTGGGATATATAAGAAGTAATCGCAATGGAATTAGCTACTTAAAAGAAAAAAGATGCATACAAGTATCAGCACTGTAAGGGGCAAACCAGACAGAACATGTGGAAGCTGATTCAGATTTTGGGGGATGCCTGAAACTGCTGCCAAAAGTGAGAGCACAGGAGCAATGGAAGCAACAGCTCTGTTTACGTTAATTAAATGCCTGAGATTGAATGCTAGGTTCCATAATGAAAAATATTTCTTCAGGCCTTTGCCCTGGAAGAAAAGTCTCAACAGAATCTTACTAGTGGTGATGGACTGACAGTGGGCTGGACTTCTGCCCCACAAAACTACTGGTCTGAGCTTACATCACCAGTTCAAACAAAAGCAGCATAACCCCCATCATTTCTAGTGTTCTGAAGTTCTTGCCAAATACCAAATCCCACCCAATTTGCACGGGCTTCTGAAGTGCATAGCCGCCTTCTCAGTTGCAGGGATCACTCCAGACTTTCCCTTTTGCCCTTGCTAATAAATGCCTTCTCAGTTGCAGGGATCACTCCAAACTTTCCCTTTCTCAGTCGCAGAGATTACTCCAGACTTTCCCTTTTGCCCTTGCTAATAAATGTCCCCTGTAAGAAAGTGTGTAACTTCCATAGTCTGCCCTACGTGGTTTGAACTCGCACAACTGGCCCATGTGGTGCACCTAACAAGCGTTAAGATGGGAGAGCTTCCTAACACCACCGATGACTTCCTCAGGCACCAAAACAAGGTCTGTATGGCTTCCCCACAGCTTGTTGCTTATGACAACTTACTTTCTCCCTCTCAGGGTACAAGAAAGTCTTGACCCTCTACAACACAGTGAGTAAGAGATCCGTTAAAACAAAAATACTGTTGATATGCAGTTTTAGATTTCACAGCAAATTTACATGACAGACGTACGTATTCATTTTGGGAACATTTTAGAAACTGATACCATGACACAGAAGATCTGCTTTACAGATCAAAACACTCAATGGCTCTGTAAATTAAGTTTTAAGATCTATAAAAACAGCATAAAAAAAAATCAAGACAGCAAACTTTTTCCCATGAAAAAATGTTGTGGCTTTGGGAGGGGTTTTCCCCTTTTTTTGTGCCAAGTCACTGTAGATTAAGAGAGCCAGAAAAGTAAAGATCAAGACAGAAGCATTATAGCTGGGCTAATAATAGAAGCCTGAAACTGTATCCATCTCCAGTAAGCCTTGCTCAGAAAAACATGGTAATTTCAGTCACCTTCAACGCACCGTGTACAATTATAAAAATACATTGCATGAAAAATCCAAAGTATAAGGCATGTAACTTACGGCATTAACAGAAAGTTTCATGTTAAAATATAAATACAACTTGAGTTTATGAGAAGTATGGAAACTGAAAGGTTTAGTTTGAGTTTGACTGTATGTTACATATACCGCTTAACTGATAACTCCGAAATACCATTCCTCACCCGTCAGTTCAGCCACTTTCGCAGCAACTTTCTCAGCAAAGCCAATTCTTGTGTTTAATCCTGTACCAACTGCAGTCCCGCCAGCTGCCAGCTGATACACTCTTGGCATGGTTGACTCAATCCTAGCCACACCATATTTAATCTGTTGCACATAGCCACTAAATTCCTTTGAAAGAAAGGAGGACAAAATAAAGGAACAAAGACAACAAGCAAGAATAAGCATCTAGAATTGTTTAGATTTTTAGCATGATTGGACTAATTTCTTTAAAAACCTGAAGGCACCGAATTTTACCCGAATACTAAAGTTTAGCATGTTTTCATTCAGAGGGAAAGTTTATGTATATCAAAAGACTGCTCTCACACTACAAACAATTACACATAAAAACAACCTACATATATAAAAATATATACCACAACACATTTTTCTCTTGCCTTTTATCTCAGTTGCATACTTAGCAACTTGGATCTGAATCCAAGGTATATCAGCTCTCAGATTAAACTAATGTTCTCAAGGTACAATTAGAGAAATGGATCTTGGGCTTTGTGCACTTAATTTTAGTTAGTAAAAACCCCACCTGTGAATTCTTGGAAAAAATCCGCACATTTTACAAGGATTTTTATCAATTCAGTTTAAGCTAATTCATTACCAAATTAATGTAATTTAAGCTATTCTTGACAACATGATAACAAAGATTTGCTATCACATATAATCATATATAAAAGATTTTAGTTAAAATTCTTCGTATTTTTGTGTGTTGGCAAAACCTCATTTACATAAATTCACAGATTACAGACTAACTACCTTCTTCCTTCCAACGTCAATGTAACAGAAATATCACACTGTGTTATTTGGTAATGGAACATCTTTTAAAAATCATTTAAATCTTACTACTGTTAGAAGTAAAACACACATGGAAAAAAACTAAGAACATTTATGATGCAGTTATTAAGAGTACAGCACCCAGCAAACTCCAGTAAAGACTGAAATACTCTGACTGAGATTCAGCCAGTTTCCTATTATTTCCCTTAAACGATCAACTTAATTTAGGCATCCTCAAGTTTGCCACAGTTTCTTCCAATACATTTAAAGGGATTTTCCAAAGGAATGTATAATTTGGTTTGGTTTGGTTTTTTTACCTGTCCAAGTGTAAGCGGAACAGCATCTTGTGTATGAGTGCGCCCTATTTTTATGATTTGGGAAAACTCTTTGGACTTCGCTTCAAGTGCATTTTGTAGCTTCTTTAGTCCAGGTAACAACACCTCATTAACCTCCTGGGCAGCAGCAATGTGCATTGCCGTTGGGAAAGTGTCATTTGAACTCTGTGAAGAAAGTTCAAGAAATTTATTTACAAGCTTTTCTTGCTGTTGTTGCTGTGAAATGTACACCTATGGCTTTATGCTCTTTATTTTATAAACAAGAAGAAACTAAACTAAGAGTAAGCAACTTGGGAATGTTATACAAGTCAATCTGCAGGAATAATCAAAACTTCCAAATTCCAGTCCAGTACCTTATGGATAAAACCAACTATTCATAACTATACACACAGAAAGTTGAGAAGATTGTTCACAACAACATTGGGACAAAAAAAAAATTACTGTAATAGTTATGAGACATGGCTAACAAATGGATGGATGACTTTAAAGGAATTGTAAGTGACTTCAAAACACCTATGTGTTGCTTTCATAATGTTAAATCTGTAGTTCCCAGGATACTGAGTAAGCACAAAAGAAGGGATACAACCAAGTTACTGGCCTAGACTCCAGTTAATCTGAAGGAAATACTAAGAGTGAAGTATAATAAAAAGGTCTACCGTGATCCTTGGGGAAAAATTACCCATTACAGCACTTTAGCTATTTTATTATTCTTTCTACATGCTTTAGTAATGCATTATGGAACTAACAGTTATAAGTATCCAACCTTTAGAAACTGGATTTATATTTCAGTAGCAGTGGCTGTTACCAGGCCACCTCTGCCCACTACATCATGTATGAATTCATCTGTCATGAATGAGTTCAAAATTTTTAATCTAGAAAGCTCATACTGTCACTGACCAATCTTTTAAAGTTCATTTAAACTGAAAAACCTGGAAAATTGTTGCCAAAGCTGTACACAAAACTTTTTTTTCTTTTTTTTTTTTTTTTTAAGATCTAAGCAGTGGCTGTAAGAGAATTCAAAATTCACAGTTAAAATAAAAAAATACTTTTGACATTAAAAGAAGTAGTATATGAGCATAACGACCTGGCTTTTGTTAACATGATCATTCGGATGTACTGGGGTTTTGCTCCCCAGTTTGCCGCCCATTATCTCAATGGCTCTGTTGCTGATGACTTCATTGACATTCATATTGGTTTGAGTTCCAGACCCAGTCTGCCACACCACCAATGGAAAGTGATCATTTAATTTTCCTTCAGCTACCTATAATGGAAAAAGAGGGAGAAGTTGTTCTACTGGAACAAAAAAAATCAAAAAGCATAAACCTGAGAATTTTATAGCTATGATGCAAATAATGTTCTCCATTGTATTTGTAAATCTACATAGAACAATTGTGAATTTATACAACAATACTTAAGTCTGATGTAATACCAGATATTTATTAAAAGGGCAAAAAACTTTTGCTATGCTTTTTGAAGATGCTGAATTCTGAAACACAGAGAAATATGTAATTTGATTTCATGTTCTACTGTCATAGAAAGAAAAGATTCTTAAAAGGTCTTTTAGGTTGTATCTTCTGTTTCCCAAACAACGCAGATGATTTTGTAAGTCAAAAAACAACCCCCCCTTCCCAAATTTTAAAGCAATTCAGATTCTAATCTTTCTGGGTAGGACTAGAAGTAGTGCATGCTGGTTCTCCCTTCCACAGTTATTTGCTCAGCTTAGTAAGATCTCCCAGGAAAGAAAAATAAGTAGTCTTAAGTAGTTTCTCAGTCAGAGCACATGAAGTGCTTCAGAGTACTGATGCACTGTTGTCCATCTCCTTGGGTTATGACCATCCTTTGCGTGTCAGAAACGGCAGTTTTTGGACAGCACTTACACTTACCTGTTTACAAACCCACCAGCATGGGTGCACTGCTTTCTCCTAGGAAATCAAGCTCAACAGCTGCAGAGTTGCACCATGAACACCAATTGCAACTATACAACAATTTGAATTAGAGGTATTCAGAAGTCCGTTCCCTATGGCAAAGAGTCCCCCAGATGAGGTGCTTTTGCCAAAGGCCATCTGTCACGCACATGCAGTAGGTGATATTTGTATGATTGGACTCTGGAATTTCTCCAGAAACAAATTTCATACAGGGAAGTTTCAGACCTTTTATACCTGTAGACATTAGATTTTGCATCAACACAATGAACCGGCAGACGGTTGCTGGTATCAAACACCTTCCTTTACGGCATGCTTTCCCTAATACTGCCCTGGATCTACATGGCTTTGAATTCAGAGGTGCCTAAAAAGGACTCATGACTGTCTTTACTGTACCTCAGCTGTAACTGGATATGTTACACATATAAACAAGCAAGAGAATCACATGGACTTAAAAAGATTCGTACATATTGACTTGCTGATTACCCATGGGAACAAGGTCCTGATCAGCCAGAAATTACTATACCAACTTACATCTTCTGTAGGTAGGCTATGACAACTATGATCTCATATCCAAACAGAACAAAAGGTACAAATACTCTCCCGTTTGAGCTACACTTTTTGGAGCCTGTTGAACCTTACATGCATTTAGAGATTTTTCTAAATGTGTGTTTGTGATAGTATCAAAATCTGTGCTAGGAAGTATCACCCCATGCATATTAGCCTCAGAAGAGCTGAGAATGCAAAACAAAGGATCTGTTGTCACAACTCTGAAGCTAGATAACTATCTCCAGATATCAGGATACATCAGTCCTCCTGGAATCACGTATCACCCATCTTATACAGGGGCAAAGGTCCCACCTCCCAGAATAACTTGATTCCTTGCTGTTATCTCTTTCTTTTTCAGTTACATTAGAAAATTATTTTCGAGGTAAGGGAAAAGATATCACTTGCAGGAATGTTTTTAAAACACAACAAAAAAGCCCCAAACAACTTTCAGAACCTAATCTAAGTAGCCTTTAGCCACTGAAACTTCTGATCCACCTTGAACTAGAAGAACCCTAGAAACCACAAGAAGACACTGGACATATTCTGGAGTTCTCCAAAGCTGTTGGATCTTGGGACTTAGGGTAATACAGTTGGTAGAAAGAGGATAAGGCTTCTGCAAATACTGAAATATTTTGAAGCTAGTCAGAACAGGAAAGCTCTGTAAAACAATGCTTCTAGGTAAATGTGTCTGTTGATTTACACAAAGCAACACACCTGGTGTTACCATACCTCAGGTAATGGTCATTCACAACTCCGTGCACTTGAGTGGCATTTATCCTGAGAAAGAGGAGATGCCTCTCTGTGTCACATCATGTCCTCTTTAGCTATAAAAGTGATACTTAAAAAGCACAGATTTACTAGGAAGCTTAAGTCTGAAGAGGAAATAGACTAGTAACAGAGAGACTTCATATTGCAGGTGGTCTTCACGTCACCAAGATGCAATTGCTCAACAGATTGGAGACTTCCAAAATGAAAAAGCTTTGCTTGGCATGGCAGACTCCATGTTAGCTGAACGAACCGAGACTCCATTCCCCTCACAGGTCTTTTTATCCTGTTCATCTGGTAAGAGTCAACACTGTGCAAGTAATGAGTAGTCTTAATAGAGCGGAAAAATTACATTGTTCTTGCAACTTAAGTATCAAAATGTATTTGAACATTCTATCACTTCTATAAATGTAATAAGTAAAATAGTAAAACATCATATTAAGTAAATGCTTTCTCAGTCTGAAAAACAAAATTTAATAACAATAAATGGCTGCCTCTAACAATTTGAGAAATGCAAGAGGTCTTCCCCCAGCCTTCAAACTTCCTGTGAAAAGCTTAATAAAAATACAATGACAGTTCTAGTATTTTGAACAGTTTGTTCCTACCTCATTTGCCGCCTTTACAATAGCATTAGCAATCTTTGGGTCGAGACCATAATCTTGATTTACTTCAGCAGCTGCTCTCTTCAAGATGCCAAAAGCCCTTATAACTTGAACCTGAGACACAAGAGTAAGTTTAAATACGTAAATTTTTTTCCCCCCAAAGGACATTTTAGGAACCTGTATCGCACATCTAGTTCTAAACCAAACTCCTTCTGAACTTAAATCCAGCAGTAGTCCATCAACCAAACCAAAGAGCAATCAGGTCACATGGCCTGTGCTCCCATTCACAGTAACATTTATCCAAGCAGTACAGAAAGCAGTACACAGCTCTTCTCTCCTTTCTAAGTCCAGGTATGCTTTGTGTATCAAAAAAGATTACATGCAGTAAAATGAACAGAAAAGGAGAACTGGTTCTGAAACATTTCTGAAACAGCCTTTTTGAGGGCAAACTGACACGTTTCAGTACATGCAAAACCAGTGCATGACAAAGTGTCTGCACACTAATGCTCTTGGCAAGGCTACACATGAAAAGGTAACTCCATATCAACTCATGCTACGCTGAGCATCTTCAATAACAAACTGCATTAACACTACAGCAAACAAGTTATTCCATTCGCCTTTTGTCTTCAGAAAAGTGAAAGATTTCTGTTCATCCTGGTTATTAAACAAATTAAGCGACACAATAAAATAATTATTCAAAAGCAACATTCAATTTATTTAAATGCAACAAAAAATATTTCTACCACAGAACAATATCTTGCCATGAAATTTCTAACTTTTCAAAGTTGCTCATATTCCCAGCAAAAGTCTAAGAAGAAGGTATTCACCCTCACATCCAAAACATACTTAGAAAGAAGAAACTAACACAGCTTTACATTACTTACTGGCATTCTTTCTGAAACGCCTCCAATCTTGAAGTTCATTGTAGATCTTACAGTCTGGGCACCATAGTATTTGTCACTTGGGACCTTCAGTTCACCAAAGGTATCATATTCTATCCTAAAAGCCTCTTGAGTGGACTACGGAAAAGGAGAAAAAAAATGTATTTCAAACACCGGCAAACAGCACAACCTTTTTGAAAGCAGACACAGTTAAGAAAAAATGTGCAAGAAGGGGGAAAAACCAAAACAAAGACACGCAGCTAGTCATAGGTATTTTTCTAATTATATCTTCAAAGTTAAGTTTGAGCACCTGTCTCACTAAAAGTCACGACGACTAACATTATACAGCCTAGCAGACCCACTGGTGACAGGCAGCACTACAAGACTTAAGACCTTGGCTGCCCACTGTACGAAACACGTTGTCCTGACAGAAGACTCAGCTTCTTCTTTTTGAAGAGTTAGTAACTTAGCTTACAATTCACAGAACTGGTGCTTTGTTAAAAGCAAACAAAAGAACTAGCATGGTAACGATTCAGGTGGCATCCGCCCAGGCGACATACATGTAACAAAATCCCTATCTGAAATCCACACTGTACATGGGACAGAAGGAAAATACTGGAAGGGAGCAACTGACTAATTCAGTACCAAAGTACTGATAATCAATTATCTTCTTAAGCCAAATAAACCAGAAACATAGTTGCCCTAGCTGTGCAAGAGGAAGAAACTGCATCTAGGTATGTTTTGTGCAATATTTATGTCAGGGAGTATTTCTATATCACGTATACATGTAGCACACATCTAACACAGCCAGAGATAAATTCATTTTAGCCGACATACACCAACTAAAAAGTAAATTTTTACTTTTTGTGAAACAACCCGCTCACTTGTGATGATGTGATCCCATTCACATGCAGCTCTACCAAGATGATGGGACTGGACAGGAGATGCTCTTCCTCTCCCCACACCTTGGTCAGCAAAGTCCCAATTTTCTTTGGGAAAGGCTTTCACCCTTCCCCAGAAGAGATTAGCTTCTTGCAGAGTCTTCAGGAAGGGGAAGAAGTCTTTTTTTATTCTTAATCATAGATAGAGTAAAACAATCCCAGTTCCACAGGCAGGGTATATACACATACAATGCCAGGCTCTGACCTAACCATGACCCTCAGGGATGAGTCCCTGGGACAGCTCTGTCATAGAATCAGAGCACAGGCTGGGTTGGAAGGGACCTTTAAAGGTCACCTAGTCCAACCCCGCCCCGCAATGAGCATCAAGTCAGCGCTGCAGCGCAGTATAAGAAGGAAATCAGATGTTAGGAAATGTTAAGAAAAGCAGAGGATACAAGAAGAAACATTGCTGCGCCATGATTGTTCACCTACTCTTCGAAGTCTTTGTGCAGATTTAGTTCTTTCATCCCAAAGAGCGTATTTTTGGAAACAGTTCAAAGAAAGACAGTAAGGCTGATGAAAGGCAGGGAACAGCTTTCCTAAGACAACTGACTTTTTCATTCAGAAAAGAGACAACTTGGCGTTTGAAGGAAAACTGAGGTCAATAAAAGCATCAGTAGAATGGGGACAGGTGTTAGCTGCTCACTGCCTCTCCCAGTACAAGAAAGAGGAGCCATAACACGAGGCTAGTAGGAGTCAGGTTCAAAGCCAGCAAAAGGAAGCAGCTCTTCACAAAAGTAGCAGACCGACGAAACTCCTTGCCAGCTGATGCTACGAATGCAAGAAGCCCGCATGAGTTCAGGGGAAGCGAGATAAGCACTCAGAAGGAAGATCCAAACTGGGTTACTATACAGACAGACCACAGACTCAGGAAATGCCCTGATGTGAAAATGAGGAGTCTGGGCCAGAGTGAGAGGAAAGCATCAAAGATGTTTGCACAGTTCTTACTCCTCCTCCTAGGTGTCCACTTCTGAAGTCGGACTGTTGCTCTCTTTTCTTGGTCCATTTCACTTACTCCTTGCTTGGTGGGGCTGAGCCTTCTTGGACAGGAGCACAGCTGGGTGTTGGGCAGAACACCCTCTCCAGCAGCACTGACTTTCTGCAGCAGCCTGCCCAGGTCTGTGTCACCGTGGCTGGCAAGCTGCAGGTGGTAGTCATGGCGGGGATGTTCCAGCCCTCTGACTGCCCTACGCGGCGTTCCCAGCCAGGTGAGACGCTCTGCCATCAGGTACCCCAGCAGCCCCTACCGGAGACGACAGACCCACTCGCTTAGGGCACTTTTGCAGAGTAGGTGGCACACGTGACCAAAAAGAAACTGCAGCTCAGCCCACAAACAGCCAAGTTAGCTCTTGCTGTCCCGTTCCCCACACCCCGTGTTTTGGCTGACGTTCTCCCAGACGCTGACCCTAGAAGGATACAAAGCTTCATGTGGGCCAGTACGCCATTCCTATGCTCTTTAATCCTCTTTATCCTATTTTAATCACTTAGCAGTCATTTACATGGTTTACATTTAGGGACATGGTTTAGTGGTCAGGTGGCAGGGTTAGGTTAAAGGTTGGACTCGATGATCTTAAAGGTCTTTTCCAACCAAAGCGATTCTATGATTCTATGATTCTACATGCTAACAAGAAACAGAACACAGCACTCATTTAGTCTCTTACTACCAGAAATGTTTAATGGGGACACTCGTGGGTGTTACTGTATGTGTGCACGTATTTATATGCCAACAGGAGTGATCACTGATGCACTGTCTCTGAAATCCCTGCTCTTGTTATCTGGATGCCTTGTGTAAGCAGACAACGCCAAGCTTTTCCTAGAGCTGGATAAGCAGAACCAATTCAGTCCCAAGCCCAGTTCTTCATATGGTCAGTGGTTCAATCACCAAAAGCATCCACACTCAAGCAATACAAAAAAGTTAAACTACCTGTAACCTTTTAGACAAAAAAGCTAGCAATTGCACAATTGATTCCTCAAACTTACATAATTCCAATGTCAACAATGGTGAAACAAAGATAAATAAGATCAGTACCTCCTTGTACAAGTACCTTTTAAAAATAAAACCTGTTATTAAAAAAAAATTACTTTCCTAGCCAATTCCACGTTACACACGTTCACAAACTCCAGTGAAGTTAACAGGGCAAACTGCTTTAAGCTGAATGTCATTTGCTGATTAACAAAGTAACATTAGGAAAAAAGGCAAAGTGATTTTTTTCATATGTATTAAAGCGACTCACTTCATCACTGCCTTCAGACTAATGTAGCAGCCTGCAGAATGCACGGTCTGAATTTTAATGTAAAAAACATGCTTCTCCAACTCCTTAGCTGGAATTCACCCTCTTGACTGGCTTTATGTCCCAGTTCCCGTATCTAAAGTTGTTTCTGCAGTCACTCCCTGGCCTAGGGAACCTGCTGTAGAAGGCGGCAGCTCGCTTGTGTCAACCCTCTACTTCCATACCAGTGGGCCACAGGAGAAGAGACCTAGCAACTCTGCCACAAGCCAAGGCAAACTCCTGGGCTCACTCAGCTTCTTGCTTCTATCTACAGCTATCTCCTATCTCAGCTCAGAACTATTATATTATAGATATCAGAACTACACATATATATATTTTTTTTAAGAGGCCTGACAGGGGTGCTCTGCCCCCCAAAATCCCAAGAACCCGTAGTCCAAAGCTTAGACGGTTCGGCAAACATAACTGTACCTTTGCCTTGTTGCAGGGAGCGAGTCAGCTAGAACTGATTGCACCATAACACACTGGAGATATGCAAATGGCAGAACTGCTGCAATAATGTTTCCCGTGGAAAATTACACTCTGATTGAAGGCCGTAGCAACTTTTGGACATAAGTATTTAATAGAACCATAGAATCACAGAATCGTTTAGGTTGGAAAAGACCTTTAAGATCACCAAATCCAACCGTCAACCCAAAACTGCCATCCCACCACTAAACCATGTCCCTAAGCACCTCATCTACCCAGCTTTTAAATACCTCCAGGGATGGGGACTCAACCACTTCCCTGGGCAGCCCATTCCAGAGCCTGACAACCTTTTCAGTGAAGAAGTTTTTCCTAATGTCTAACCTAAACCTGCCCTGGCGCAACTTCAGACCATTCGCCCTCGTCCTTTCATCCGTTCCCAGGGAGAAGAGCCCGACCCCCACCTCGCTACAGCCTCCTTTCAATTTCAATTCAAAGAATCATCATTTTTAGTATGCCAAAACCAATCTTTAAAGGCCAGCAGAAGATGGAATTTGTGCTCAACTGCTCTCCTTTAGCAGATGAATGTTTCCATTTTTAAGTTTCATTTCTCCTTTATAATACCGAGTCATAAATTCTGAAATTTAATCTTTAGAAACCAAGTATTTTACAACATCCAGCCAAAGAAGGAAAGAACATTATGACCACAATGCCATTTAAAACATCTTGTGCAGTTTCGATCTAAGTTAAGGCAACACAATAGTCATACCATAGGACAACATGCACATTTGGTTGCATCTACACAAGGTGTTCCAAAACAAACTCTTGCCAGTGAAAAATCTCTGCAAACATCAAAAAAGCAGTGGATTTTTTTTTATTATTTAAATACTCATTGGTACTTTTTTTTTTGTACATTTCCCTTTTGAAAATAACGGTTTTCCAGTAAGAATTCAAGGGCTGCTTGAGTTCAAATTCACTGAGGGACGTTTTGCTATAACGACCGCTGTTACTTAAACCCAAGCCATTAATAACGCCTGTTTACAGGATAGATCCTGTTTCTGGCAGGCGAAGATCAAAACACGTACGTTTCTTGTAAGACTGCAGCCTTTCTTAAATACTGGGTCTTCAGCAAGGAAATCAAGACCATGATCTATAATGTTTTTCCTGGGAGATGCCACAAAAGTAAGATAAAAGGGGAACTATCTGTCAGGTTTACGAGTCACACAACCTGTGTCAGAGCAGACTTTCTTATACAGGTACATTTCATTCACCATGTGGTTTGTTCACTCATTTGGAAGCCTGGGGGTTTTACGCTATTTTTCTATACCTTAATCTGTATCACAGATTGGGAACTAATGCTCTAGTGAATTTTATTACAAGCGTCAAATCCTAAACACCCCACTTTCTGTTGGATCTCGTCCAACAGTGTCATACTATTGCCTTGGTTTTAGGCGTGAACTTGCAGAGATACACCCCAGACCGTTTCCACGCAGCTTCCTAGCTGTTAGTACCCGGATTCAGAGATGCTTATTCGAATGGCATTTTCACGTCTACCTTGAGCCACGTACAAGAAGCAAGTCCCACTCACGCCTCAGGCTGACAGCCATGGGGCTACACCCCAACAAGCACGGAGGATGCCCGCTGGAGGTCACGGGCAGCCCTCAGCTGAAAGCTCCCTCGTGCCCAGGCAGCCTGAGAGATTTTCCAGACACCCCCATTTCTGGGAGGGCACGGCTTTTTCGTGCTCGTGCCTCACGAGCTCTAAGGAAGGGCCTGGGATTTCCGTGGAAGGAGCTGCTCGCACTCCACGGCCGGCCCTGCAGCGACACCTCCCCGGGCCACCCGGCCCCGCGCCCCCTCCCCGGCCACGTAAGGCAGCTAGCGGCC